AAATAAAAACAAATTCCCGATGACAAATAAAATAATGTTTGAAAGTTTTTTTTTCCCCCCCCCCCCCCCCCCCCAATCCCCTTTCTCCAAAACCATGCCACAATTCCCTTCATAATGGGAGACTCAGCAGACATCCAAGCCTCTCCTCCTATCTCCTCCATCCCTTCCCCATCCTCCTCCTCCTCCTCCTCCTTCGAGTTCTCCATCGCCCGATCACCTTCCTCCAAGCAACCCCCGGCGCAGCTCTGCCCCGCCGACGAGCTCTTCTACAGGGGACAACTCCTTCCCCTGCATCTCTCCCCACGCCTCTCCTTAGTACGCACCCTCCTCCTTTCCTCCTCCTCCTCCACTTCATGCTCCGACGGTACCAGCATCACCACATCCCGCGACTCCAACGGCAGCTCATCCTCCGCCGACTCACTCGGCCTCCTCCACCACCCCGATCCTGACTCCTCCCGTCCAAGCTCTGCAACCGAAGAAGACTGCTCATCCGCCAAGCGCCGCTACTTCCCCTCTTTCTTCCTCAACCGCGGCACCAAGAAAAATCCCACCTTTACTTCAAATCACAACTCCTCCTCTTCTTCTTCAAAGAAATCCGCCACCACCCACTCGTCCTCACCCAAAGAAATGATAAGAAAGTACTTGGACAAAGTGAAGCCGCTGATCGAAAAGCTCTCGTCTCTGCAACACAGGACTGGGCCGCAACAGAAAAAGAAATCCTTTTCACTTCGTCGCGCCGGCGGCCGAACCGACATCTTGTCTTCCTCGCACACGTGTTCACGCTCCTTGGCCGAAAATTACCTGCGAAGTCCATATCGCCGGAAGATCGCGGCGAGCCGCCCGTCGTCCTTCGCCGAGCCATTCTCGCCTTCTGAGCTCTGATCTGATGTCGGCGCAGATGTCATCTTCTTCGTCAATGGAGGAACTACAGAGCGCAATTCAAGCCGCCATTGCCCATTGCAAGAGCACCATGGCCAAGCAGAAGAAGAGCATGACTGCAGCCAGCAGCTTCGAAGATGATATCTGTGTATTCTGAAAAGAGTGAGTTTTTATCCCTAGATTTCAACATCAATCATGTTATGTTTTTTTTTTTTTTTAAAAATTGTTTTGAATGTCATATTGATGTTGAATTTTTATTTATGTGCGCAAAATGCAAATTATTATTCTTCTTTAAAAGAAATTATTACGTTCAGAGTTCGGACGTAAATCCGGGTTCATTTTTCTCTGCTTCTTTCCTTCCAGTGGAATGCAACTGTTGTTCGGACGCAACTTGTGTCCATAGTCCAGACATAATATTTTTTCTATTATCCATGCAAATTCTTGATCAAATGTGCGGTCATCACATAAAATATTTGCGTACATAAGACGTACGCAGCGCTACGTACGGTCAGGGGCTATTCAGGGGGTAAAGGGGGTTATATCAGAGTTATACCCCTCTGTAACCCCCCGTAACCTCTTTGTAAACTACCTGTAACCTACAAAAAAGCTCTGCGCTTCTGTAGTTTCATGGGTACAAATAAGTTACACGGAGGTTATAAGCGAGTTACACTTACACGAGTTACACTTACGTTACAGGGGTTATAACCCGGATATAACGTACGCAGCGCTGCGTACGTCTTATGTACGCAAATATTTTCCGGTCGTCACACGCTATATTTGCTCCTATTAAATTAAAAAAAAATTAATTAATAAAATTTGAGTGCAAAAGCTGTTCTAGTTTTTCAATAAAGAATTTTTATTATATATTTAAAAGAAAAAAATCTCGCTGATGTAAATTAGATCCGTTGAATCGGAAACATTTAAACCTTTTCGATCCTTTCAATTGAAAAATTAAAAAAAAATCTGCAGCAGTTAGTTAAGATTATTATAAATTAGTTTCTTCAATGAAAAAATATATTATATATTCTAAACAATCTTTCTAACGTCAATGTGCTTAACGGTGTAATTTTCTCAAGTAATAAAATCCTCTGCAACTCCGTGGACATAAACAATTTGCCGAACCACGTAAACCTTGTGTCGCCCTTTCCTGATGTAATTTTCTTGATCTATTTTTCACTTTATTATCGTTGATTTTCACAACATTAAAAATATAAATTTGTCATCTTTTAATGAAAAAATATATTATATATTCTAAACAACCTTTCTCACGTGCCTTTAGAGAGAGAGAGAGAGAGAGAGAGAGAGAGAGAGGAAAAGAAGAGAGAAGAGAGAAGAGAGAAGAGAGAGGAAAAGAAGAGAGGAGAGTTTTTCTTGTAAAAGTCGAGACGCTTCACGGTGTAATTTTCTCAAGTAATAAAATCCTCTGAAACTCCGTGTACTTAGACAATTTGTCGAACCACGTAAACATTGTGTCGCCCTTTCCTAGTGTAATTTTTCTTGATCTGTTTTCGCTTTATTGTCATCGTTTTTCACAACATTAAAAAAAAAATTATCATCTTTCAATGAAAAAATATATTATATATTCTAAACAACCTTCCTAAGTCATATATATATATATATATATATATACACACCTGAGATATTTTCTTCTCGTGAAATGGGTCACAACAATCTAATATGTTCGGAGTTCAGACGGGTTGCATCAATCTAAGACGTTCAAAATTCGAATGTAGGCTACGTCTGGACAACGGCTGCGATTCACCTGAAGAGAAAAAAAACGTACCACAACGTACGAATTCCAGTAGATCACAGTCGTTGTTTGCATGCAGCTTTCCGATTGGTCAAAACATAAATATTTTTGATTTACTGATCAGTATTAAATTGTTAAAAATTGTTTTTAAGAAAAGTTAATTTCATATATTAATGAAGAAAATTAGTTTCAGGATAATATTAATATAAAATAATTATTACGATGAATTTAAAAAAATATATTTACAAGCATGCCACTAAATTGCTATTTATTGCCATATATAACACCTAAATTTTAATTTTACATTAATATTATCTTATTTATACATGAAAATTTATATTTTAACATTTTGAAAATTAAAATGGTTATATTTTTTATGTAAATAAAAAGTTTGGGTGGTATAAATGTAACAAATAAAATTTAGATGTTCGATAAGTAAATACATTGAAATGTAATGGTTTGTATGCAAAAATCACCAGGTTGCCTTTTAATAGCAAATTTGCTTTAGAGGATTAACCCCAGCCATTGGAAGGTGAATATTTGATCCGGTCAAAGGAGCAGATGTTTTAGAATAGACTTATGTTAAGAAAGGCAGAGGTAGTTCTCAAAAGATTTGGATATATTGTATAATAAATAATCTTAATTTATTAGAATTATATTGAAATATGATTAAAAATTGTTGTTGTTGTAGAATTTTTAAAAACATATTTATTTAGTATTTTTTTTTTTGACATTAATGCGTGCTAGAAAATTAGAAGAGGTAGAGGAACGGACTATCGTCTTAGCGTTGCACGAAAGTTTAGTACACACACACAGATGAAAAAGAAATAAACGGTGAT